TGGACGGAAAAGAGCAGATACAGATTAAATGGTTTTCAATGCATTCCTATGGGAAATGCAGATTCGACCTACAAACTTTTCGACCTAAGAACCACCTTCCAATACGGTTTAAGTTCGTAAGTCCAGACCCCACTGAAGAACTCTGTTGAGGAAGAGGTTCGTCTTCACACTATTCTGCTCCCAGCAGACCTGGGGAGAGTAACCATGAAGCCACAACCATACCATCAATTAATTCAAGTGAAAAGTTTTGCAAACACTTGATTCCCCACTGTGCCTTGCGGAAGATGACCCAGTACAGCATATGCAGCCATGGACAAGGTCCATAGTTCCAAGGTTTGATCAGAAAATTGTTGTGATGTGCTGTCCAGTCATCTCCAACTTACTGTGGCCCTATGAATGAGAGATGTCCAAAATTCCTGTCTTCAATGGCCCTGCTCAGCTCTTGTGAACTCAAGCCTGTGGCTTCCTTTAGGGAGTCAATCCATCTCGTATTTGGTCTTCCGCTTTTCTTGGTGCCTTCCACCTTTCCCATCATTATTTTTTCCCCAGAGAATTTTGCCTTCTTACGATGTGGCCAAAGTGGGACAGCCTTGGTTTCAACATTTTTGCCTCTAGAGATAGTTCAGGCTTGATTTAATGTAGGACCTGCTTGCTTGTATTTCTGGCCGTCCAGCGTATCCACAAAGCTCTCCTCCAGTACATTTCAAACAAGTCATTTTTTTTCTCTGTCAGCTTTCATATCCTTCCTGTTATTTCCAGTCACCATGCCCATGCATGGTGATTGAGAATAGACGATTGTGTATGATTTTGGTGTCAGTCTCCAATGACACATCCTTACACAACGATCTTTTCTAATTCCTTCATTGCTGCCCTTCCTGTTTCCAATCTTCTGATTTTTTGGCTGCCATCTATATTTGGATTGATGGTTGAACCAAGGTCTACAAAATCTCTATTTCAGTTTCTTCATTGTCAGTGTTAAAGTTGTGTAGTTCTGATTTTCTTAATGTTCAGTTGCAGTTCTGCTTTGGCAGTTTCCTCTTGACTGATAAATTACATCTGAGTACTTAATACCTAGGAAACCCTGGCCAGGGTCATTGTAAGTTGGAATCAGCTTGATGGCAGCACATAATTATTACTATTAAAAGTCATAAAAGTTTTTAAAAGCAGACAAAAATTGTACCAGCTACCATTAAAGTTGTCATTCTGCCTTTAACTGAATGAGAACAGGACTTTAGAAGACCCACCTCACTTGGCAGGAATATTTTTTTAAACTAAACATTAGGTTAAGAAAACAGAGAAGGCAAAATTTTGCATATTTGATTGCTTGTAAAAATATATAGAAGTCTTATAAAGACACCATATGAATATCTGTGATAACTATGAGAAATAATAAAGGAAATAATGCAATATTTGGTTATGCACACATTAACATAAAATCTTAAATCATTGGTTATACGTACTCTATCATTTCATAAGTTCAAAGGTAGGCTCACATATTAGTATTTATTCCCTTGCAGGTTAATGCAGATGCTGTTTTATCTCTAAACAGTTTCATTTAAAAAGAAATGATCTGTCCCTCATTACATTGAAGGATTATCTGCACTTCTTTAAACTGCATCCTGTACAACTGTGGAGCTCTATTATAGAGTTTGAGAACCAGTGCTTTCAGCTCAAAAGAAATATGGCCATTCCATTTTCATAGCATCCAGCACATAGCATAGAGAGTGCAGCTGTATTCATATCTTCCTTCTGGATTTATCACAGGCATATGATTCATCACTGTCAGAATGTTAGGCCAAACAGATTTTGATCAGAACTTTCCATACTTTGGAATAAAATCAGCTCTTTCAGAGTTATATCTGTGAAGATTCTCAGTTATCCAGGTGAGGTTATCTGGAGGTTGAATTTCTTATTAGATTGAAACATATTGCTACTCAGTGTTCTATAGCTTTTCATAGTTCCATCAATCCAGCTTAATTTCTAGAGTCTGAAAAAAAAGGAAGTCCAGAAAAGCTGCTTAAATAGCATATACAGTTTGCATCTAGTCACTAGAAACAGCAGAAGGTACTTCTGGGTCTGCTGGTTGAACACCTGAGAAGACTGAAGGCATCTAAGAAGACTGAGCAATACTGAAGTCCTATGAGTTACAAATGGTAGTTTGTAGGTCTGAAATTCTTTAATTCAACACTAAGCTTTGATTATGCCTCACCCTAGTTCAGATTTTATGTGGAAAAGCCAGTGAAGAACTTAAATTTCCTGACTCTTTGGCAACATATGAACAGGCAAAACGTTTGCAGGTTATTCAGCTCCAGGAAGCATTTCCACTTCTGAAGAGGATATTGTTTTTGTCTTTTTGAAAGTCCTGGCTACACCTAGGCCTCCTAGCCACTATTATCATTGTCTCCTCTCCTCCCATTGGCATCCCTTGCCTTTCTTTGGAAAGGGTCCTTTTGCCAGGTAAACTTGTTAGAGAAGCATTCCACTAACTCATAATGTTTCTTGCCCTGAAAGTGAAGGTGACTCTGTTTAGTTCGTGTGATCTGTTAAATGTGGTGTACGTGAGGAGTGCTGGGGAAACAAAAGAGTAGTCAGTCATCTCTGCACCCCTATCCCACCCCTTGTACAAAGAAATATATTCCTTGACAAAGAAATTATGCTGGGGGATTATCTTTGCCAGAATGTTACAAATTTTGCAGAAAAGCTAAAATATAATTAAAATAGTATGCTAAATGGTATACAGAATTGATACTTACTCAGGTTTCACAATAGTTAGGATTATTTGCAATCTAGATTTCTTGGACATTCTCAGTTATTTCGTGTGAACACGCTGCCAGGTACTTTTGAAAAGGATCTTTGGAAGGCAGATAATGAAGAGCTATTTTATTTTGAGTCAGGATACTCTCAATCTTGACTTGTAGTGCCTCTCTAACAACTCGGGTATTGGTCGTTGCCCTGCTGGCAAGATTCTTTTCAATGGAAATGTAAGGGACTGGAGGATGTTTTATGTGCAGGTAGATCCAGTGTAGCTTCTGTTATGTAAATTAGCTGATCATTCTGGTTTCTGTCTTCCTTGTCCACAGCATTTGCTACTTCAATTGTCTTTTCTGGGAATGGGGAAACGGTGTCAAAGTGCATGACTCTCAAAAAAGGGAAGACCCAGAGAAGCTATCCAAAGAAACTGTTCTGTCCTTCATCAGACAACATTCACCCTATGATGAATCCCTCACCAGGTCCTGGGGAACAGCCGGGGAGCCTGGACTGGAATCATCTGCAGCTGATTAGAATAATTGTCTTCCAGCCACTTGCACTGAGCCATGGAAGAAGACTGTCAAAAGAGGCCAGATTGGGTGGTAGGGGACCGAATGCAAAACAAACGAGACAAGGCTTCAGACTGCAAATAGCACTGTACATAAGTTTCTGCTCCTGGCACTTCTACGGCAGGTTTCACAAAGGCAGTTTCTTGAGCAGTGGACATTCCTCTGAATTGATCCCCACCGTACCTTTCTTGTCCGCCCCCATCTGTGCTCTGTATATCTTGACATCTGGACTCCGTGTAGCAGGTAGCACAGCAAAGATGAAGATGCACACAGCTCTCAAGTAGTACGTCTAAAGGGGAACATCACATGGCGCCTGACAAGGCTGCTCAAGCTTGCAAAATGTGGACAGGACAGAAGAGGACATCCTTTTAATGACTTCATTTTATCTCTTGGGTCTTCTTTGTATCATGACACTAGTGTGGGCCATTCTGGCTCTTGTGATACCTAGCTTTGTGTCTCCTGCCTAGAGTGCTCTAGGTACAGATATATTCGTGGAAAGAAACCGGACAGATGGAAGTCTTGACTGTAAATAGTATGTTACTACCAACAGTGACTTGTAACTTGGGTTGAAATTGAATCTTATGCTTCTATGCAAAGTAACCCTTGTTCCCACTGCACAACTTGAGGTGCACAGCCCCATGCAGTTTTTTTCCATGAAACACACTAGCTGTGACTTCATCTAGATGGAAGTCATTCTTTTGTCCATGTTTGAGGCAAACCTGATGTTTTTTTCCCCTTGTCAAAGAGTTAAGCTGGTTTAGGGCTTAGAGAATTTATGGTCTTCAAGAAATGTGTGCTCTGGTGAATTAGTGGTGTTTGGATTTGATCCAGCCAACCCACTTACAGAGAGGCCATATTCTCTTGTTCTTTTAAATGCTTCAGGTCAGCATGAAAACTTCTATACATCTGGATTAAAAATCCTATCTGAGCGAAGCCACAACACTTTCTGTTTGCCAATACCCATGAATAAATAATATTCTGCTTTTGTGAATTGTATTTTAACATTTGGTTTTTCTGTGCTGAGAATAAAGGGGTGGCTAAAGGAGTAGGACTGTGCTTTCCCCATGATATGACTTCAGTTAAGGCCTAAGGAAAGTATATGGGCTTTGTTTTCTAATGTGAGCCAGCTGTTAATGTGCAGTGAAGGAATTTGGAGTCAGCAAAGTATTTTATGTATGCTAGTGTTGATGAGTGGAGGTGGGTGTGCTTAGGTGGTGCCTTACTAGATCTGTATGAGACCTTTAATTGAAGCCACCATCAAAGTCTCAGACCCTTTCCCATTACAGTTGTGGATTAGCAACAGAGTTCAACTGTGGGGAGGAAATTAGCATCTGCCCCCTGCAACTGAGCTACAGAAATTCCATACACCCCCTCTAAAGCCTCCATATAACCCTTGTGTCTTTTGTAGTGTTTGGGTGGAACTTTGCCAGAATGAAGAGGTCCAGTATGTGCAGCCCAATATTGTTTGGCAGCAACATCTTCCTGTTCACCTCAGTTGCGGCACTTGCTTAGTTCTATCAGTAGTTTATATTCCTGTTCCTTTGCATCAACAATTGAAAGTGGTAAGAGAAAGTGTTCTAGTTTAAAGTTTAAAACTGCCCTCCTCAACATTTCCTATGGGTAGACATGAGCAGGCAGGAAGATCATGTTATATTGGAGGATCATCATTAGGATTCAGAATTCAGTGATTTGATGGGAAGGGTCTAATTTCACATCAGACTAATTTCCCAGAAACGGTGGATCTTTGTCTGAAGCATGAGCCAAACTACAGGTCAGAGTTTTATCTTGATTCACTGGTTTATTTTGGACAGCAAGGGGCAAAGATGAATAAATGACCTTCATCTCCAAATTGAGTTTTGTGGTCGTGGTTTTTAAAATTATATTCAAAACGAGTGGTATTATGTTTTCAACTGCCTTCTTCCTAAAACCAACATATGACAGCAGATGAACCACAATGAGTGATTTTGCTTTTGGACTTTTGATATAAGTGATGGTAGAAGGTTTTGGTGTTTCCTAGCATGTTCCTAGTTTGCATGTTGGCCTAAAGTATTTCAGAAAGAACACACTGTCATAAAACCAGCCTCTATCTGGTTTTACTCTTGTCTTTGAGGACGATTGGCTGAGGAAGTGTGTGTTACAGAGAAGCACAGTGTCTGAAATCTCTGCCCTCACTTTATTTACCTCTGTTGTAGTTGTTACTGCTCTCTTTCTGTAGAATTGGGAGTCACTGTTGGTAAGGGCTCCAGTGCCATTCTTGGAGTTACGTTTCTTCCATTCCAAAGTGCAGCAAGGTCTTGGCTTTTAAAATTATTTTGAAGTCTATTTAGTTCAAGATTGAGTGCCTGAGGAAAACAAGGACTGTAAAGAAAACTAGAGTAGCTTGGTTTCAATAGTGAAGAACAGTTTCTCTTTCGCAACTCAGAACAAAATCACTCTTAGCATAGAGAGATATTGAAAAAAATCAGCAGCGGTGTCCCTATGGATATTTTAACCTGCTCTCACCCTGTGTTTTACCAGCCCACAAGGCAGGAAAGGTCAAGCATGTCTTGCTGAAAGGAATGTTTACACCTTGTGTTCTGTGAAGCTGTACTTCATTTGTGGTTATTCTTTTCCCCTTTTTGTCTGTACCTCACCAATACAGCCCAAAATGTCTTTTATTCATAGCTTAGATGAATTTATCAGAACCTTGCTTTACAAATTGGCTTGGAGGAAGATACAGTGAAATGGGAAAAGCTGCCCAGTACTGAGATAGATTCTGCCAGTATTCACAGAAATAGCCTACACATGCCAGAGTCCAGCCTTAAATCTTAACATTTATAGATGACAGACTTCTGTTTTGGTGCTTCCTTTAACTCCTTAAAAATGTTAGAGTTCATCAAGTGGTCTAGGTGGATTGGGTAAAGTCTGCTTCAGGCTTGGCAAAAGAACTAAACCAACTCTAGTTTTCAACTTCGTATACTTTATTTAAGAACTAAGCAAAGTGTAGAAGTTGCTAAAAGTGAAATTGCATTTGCCAACTAAAACCCCATTATCAAAATCCTAAGAATAACTCACCAAAGAACATGGCTTGCAGGTGGGGGCACCTGGGGCTTTGCAGGATGATACTCAAAACACCTTGCCAGTCACTCAAGACAAAAAAAAGAATTTAATAACCAAAGGTGTTTCTTGGGTTGGGTTGAGGGGCTCCCTGAGAGAGATCAGTTTTTTTTCAGCATAGAAAATTTATAAAGGAATTCAAAGTATAGATGAAATAAAAACAGTATTAGCGATACAGTTATAACATGAGATCAAAATACATTTAGAACAGGAATTTCAAAGTACAGCAGCTTTTTAAAGGTACATAACAAATTGAGTCTTAAAGACTAACTGCTGTATTTTGATATGAGCTTTTGTGGACAAGTCCACTAATAGAGACATAAGAAGTGGACTTGCCCATGAAATCACACATTAAAATACAGCAGTTTGTCTTTAGGGAATCACAACATTTTTGTCTTCTTTTCATTGTTGTTTTTGCCTGATATGCTAGCACAGACTAATATGGCTACCTCTTCTAAAACAAATGGAGTCATGATTCTATTATTGGTTGAAGCAGAGTTTCGAAACATTAAGGCACAACATAAGGATTTACAAACAGTTATTAGGTAATTTGGTGTATTTGTGATCTAGAACAGTGGTCCCCAACCTTGGGCCTCCAGATGTTCTTGGACTTCAACTCCCAGAAATCCTGGCCAGCAGAGGTGGTGGTGAAGGCTTCTGGGAGTTGTGGTCCAAGAACATCTGAAGGCCCAAGGTTGGGGACTACTGATCTAGAAGACAGCACAGGGTTCAGTAACAAAGGAATTAAAATGTAATGCTTAAATATCTTGATCAGTTCCAATAATAAAAAGTTTGTAATAGTGCAGATTTTGACACTTGAAGATGCATGGTCTTGTCTACATGTTCTTTGTTGAAATACATTTTCAGAAAGGTTGGGAGAAGTTTTCACAAATTTTCAACTTGGCCAATCTCTACAAGTTTAAATAAACCTTGCCATAATTTCTAGAAAATCCGTGAATACTGCTGGCTTCTATAAGAATGCAAAGCTGTTTAATTACGGAAACTTGTTTGGGATTTGTGTGTCTTATACACCCATTATCCTACTGTCAAACCTGTCTTATATACCATCACAATCTTCATCGTTGACACCATGACAAATTAAGGCAGACAGAAACTATATCTTCTACGTTTAAGGGCAACGTCTGCTCAAAGTGGAACTGTTCAAATTACTTCCTGCTTTAACAATGACAGGAAACTCTTTGTGTCCTTTGTTGCATGCAGTTGCCCTAACTATGGATATGAGCAGCTACAGAGCAAAGTGCAGCTGGTCATTTAGAAATGGGAAGAGGCAGAGCAGTCAGGAAGTCGGGTACTAGGGGAAGGCCTAAGCAAAAAAGAGAATTTCAGTTTCAAAATGCCTGATAAACAGTTTGAGTATCACTAGGTTTCTAAAGAGCAAGCAAATTGAGCAAATGCTAATTATTCCCCTTGGCATCTGCATATCGGAGGTTGTTGATATTAGGTTGTTAACTAGGTTTATATGGGTGCCCATATCAGATATCTTTGGGCTATCTCACAAAATAGATGCACCATCAAGGATAGAACAATGACTGTGATTACAAAGCAAAACAAAAAACAAATACAGATTGGTGGGAGATGCAGAATGCCCCAGTGAATGAAAAAAAAGCCAGCAACTTGTGCTGACTAGATGGTGACCAATAGTTTTTCCTTGGAGATAGTTCCATAACTAAAGGGTAAACTATCATACAAGTCCTCCCTACAGCAGTCAGCCGGAGGGCTCCAACAAACCTCAGCATCTTCTCCGCTTCTGCTTTGTTGATGATGGTTGACTGTGGTAAGTCAGAGGTGTCTGAATGATATGGAAATGGCACTGATGAGGCAGTTTGGTGAGGAGAGGAAGAGATTTAACAATGTCAAGTCATTACATCTTGGGGGTGTGTGAAGGGAAAAAAAGCTTCTACATTGTCCAGCAGGTATAAATCACCACCACCAGCAAAACAACAGCTGCCGAGAGTGCTACAATTTTGCGATTCTCCTGATGAAGAATTTTAAGTTCTTTTTCTGAAAAGAAGAAATACACTTAGGTGAGTTGCTACTTTCACTTCAAAATAAACCACAACCACTTTTTAAATATCAAGGTCTATTAAACTGTTTATCATACAGACATCTCTCAAACAGTCCCATATAGCTGGCTAACCACCACAGGCATATGATACGTTTTCACTACCTTTTCAGAAGACAAATGTAGAACTAGCAATGCAGCTGGCTAACCACCACAGGCATATGATACATTTTCAGAAGACAAATGTATAAGCCTTTTAGTAGCTGAAAGCCAGTAGTAAGTCATAATTAGAGTAGGTCCATTGAATCAGTGGAGCTTACATGGGCACCGACTCACCAAATACCCTCTGATTCAGTGGGCCTACTCTAGTTGCTACTTACTACTAGATTTCTGCCATTGTTAACCAACGACTTTGAACTGTCCTCTAAAATGTGACTGTATTTCTCATAAACATAAGCCATTTTCTTTTTCTGTGCCACATGCCACATAAGGAAGGTAACTTCAAACCAAAAAAGTAAATCATCGGATCCAAGACATAACAACATTCCTAAACAAAGGTCAAGTTGGAGGCCTTACGCCAGTGGTCTGGGAACGGGTAAATTACCCCAAATGGGGTAAAAATGAAAATCCTGGGGGTAATGGACAGAGCCTACCGTGTAGGATTTTGAGCATAACCTTGCTAGCGTTTGAAATGAGTGCAATTGTACAGTAGTTGGAACATTCTTTG